AGCAGTAGACAAATTGTTAAACAGCAACTCATACAAACCATGAAGTAGTAACAATAAAAAAATTTCATGCAACCACAACTGTAACTAAATTTACAACATGCACTATAGATATTTTAGTATAAAACACAATTGGTCTTCATGTACACAAAAATTGTTTCTCATCTCTAAGCTGGTTGGTCACCAGGCTACAAACTGCTTGCATCTACTTTACAAGCTAAAAAGGCATCTGTTTTACAATCGAAGGTAAGAAATAATAGAAACATTTCAGTTAAGAAGACTAAAATATGATCATTTTTATTTCATAATCACGTAGTTAGTAGATAATGTGCTTTTTTTTTACTTCAAAGGTTTTAAAGGGAAACATCACATTTAAATATATCTATTCATCTGTTTGCATCATCATGGGGTCTGATCGCTGAACTAATCCTGTCTCTAAACTCTTCGTTTGTGATGCAGTATTTAATTTATATTATATGTGATACCTAAGATCTTTATGTAGTATCTCAATTCCAATGCTAGGATCCTCCTCTCTAGTTCTGCAGCCAGTGTCCAAGATTCGCAATCTTATAAGAATATGGCCATGACCAGGGAGGGCATCAGTCTGATTTTAGTGTAGAGGGCTATGCCTTTGTCTTTCCATATTGTTTTGAGTTTTGAGTCTATACAATGTGTGTATATGTATATATATATTTATAGTTATATTAAATACCATGCTAAAGTGTTCAGGTGTTTATATGTTAGAATAAGTTTAATTTTAGAAGCTTGAGTACTACTTTTAGTAGCAGTAATATAATAACCAATGTTTGCTCATCATAGCGACAGCGCACAAGTCACTTAGCACCAGTTGTTGATCTCAAGAGACATGTAGATCCTGACACACCCATGCAGTTTAATATGCAGACGGGGAAGGTTGGTTTTTGTTAATAAATGTTTAATTAATAACCATGAGAAATAAAGATTTTTTAAGTTTAAGTAATTTTTTTCTTTTTTCCCTATTAAAAAAAAAGAATGTTTTTGTGTTAACTAAATTTAGGAAAAACATCAAGACTTAGTGTTCAAAACTTTTTTTTTTAGAATACTTTGCCATTTTCACACTTGTTTTTTTTTTTTTTTTCATATCTGTTATAAATTTAAATTATTATCAGTATTTAGCATTTGTTGGTGTGATGTTATGCTATGAAGCTATGACTTGTTTTGAATTGACAGCTGGAGAGAGTTAATCCTCCGCCCATACAGCCCCAGGCCTCAATTGCTGTAGCACCTATCACACCTTCTGCCATCTCACCTTTCATTCCCATGGAGCCAACTCCATCCATAACAGGTGTGGCTGATGAGTATGATCCTTTGCGGCCTAATGAATATGATGAGGTGGTTAAAAAAATGAAGGACGAAAAGGACAAAGATAAAGAACGAGAGAAAGACAGAAGAAGAGAAGATAGGCGAGACAGGCAAGAGAGGGATAGATCGGAAAGAGATCGACAAGACAGAGAGAGTAGGAGAGAAGAGCGAGAAAGGTTAACACATTTTTTTTATGAACACATTAGGTCCCAGTTCTTAATGTTAGTGTGACAATTTGAATTAAATATTAAATTTTTGTTTTTCAGTCGTCGAAGGCAGGAACGACACAGTAATAATAAAAGTAATAATAATAATTTTTATGAACTCATTGCGTCCCAGTTCTTAATGTTAGTGTGACAATTTAAATTAAATATTAAATTTTTGATTTTCAGTCGTCGAAGGCAGGAATGGCACAGTAATAATAAAAGTAATAATAATAATTTAAACTAACTTTTTTTTTTTCAGTCGCCGAAGGCAGGAACGACGCAATAATAATAATAATAGTGGTAATAATAATAATGAAGAGGAAGAAGAGAGTGAATTTGAGAGAATGAGAAAAAGGAGAGCAGCAGAAGATGAGGAAGAAGAAATCGACAGAACTAAAAGTGAGCTACTAACTAGTAGTGTATAAACACTTCTTACATCTCGTAGTCAGTAATTTTTTGTTAAGAACATCTTACTCAGTTTTTTATATTATGTATACAAGATTTATTTGAGCTTGTTGATCTTTATTTCTTATTTCTTAACAGGAGCTGGCGCAGCTATTGCTCCCCCCACAGCTCTACTGGAAGAACCTCCTGTCAATCCAGACGGTAACTCTTCTTGCAACTAAAATTAATTTTGTTTTCTAAATTTAAATTATGCCTGTATAACTTAAGAAGAGTTAGTTTCCTGAACAAATTTTTTTTCTTTCGTGTTTTAAAGTAGTCTCAAATTCTTTGGGGAGCATAAATTAATTTCTTTACTTCTATTTCTTAAATTTCACTTTTCAGCCGGACCTGAACGACCTAAATCACCGACCATGGGTATGGCTATGATGTAAGTCTGTTTTTTTCTCTTGTCCTACCAAGCAAATAAATCTAGAAAAATTATTTTCCAGATAAACTCTTCATAAATCTTGTTTTAAAATGATTTTGTTGCTTGTTTGCAGGGGATCTGTCGCTTCCAAAATTATGGCTAAATATGGGTATAAAGAAGGTCAAGGTCTTGGCAAGTCTGAGCAGGGGATGAGTACAGCCTTGTATGTTGAGAAGACTAGCAAAAGAGGAGGGAAAATTATACATGAAAAGGACATTCCTAAAGGTAGTTAACAACATGTTGCTGCATTAAGTAACAGGTAGCATTGAAATGTATGAAAGGCATTCAAAATAAGTCTACTAACAATAATGATTGATCTTCACCTATCCCTTAGTTAGATAAGATAGACCGTTGGGGCACCATGCAAGATTGGTTCGACTGTCTCTCTCCATTCGTCTCTGTCTCTTGTCTTTGATAGAACCTCTTTCAATGTCAGGCCTGTCCATTCTTTTATGTTGTTTTCTCATCGCTTTCTCTGTCGTGTTCCTTTGCGAGCCCCAAAGACCTTGTAATATGGCCTTAGTTTTAGTTGTTTTTTTTCAATTGTTAGCATGTCATTGTGGGGTTACCTTAATTAGCACTCAAAAATGACAATGTCCCAAGCTTACATAAAAAACAAAATGTAATTGATTTGTAGTATTAATAGCTCTATCTATAATGTAAAATAATAATAATAAGGCTAGTCTTCGAGTCCGAAGATTAAATGAGAAATGCAGTATTTCCTGTGGCTACGCAAAAGCATTTGTGAGTAAAAGAAATATTAATCTATATGAGAAATCATTGAGCCAACTTTAAACAAAAAAATCTTTAGCAAAAATATTGAGCTCTCAAAAGAAATGCTTGCTGAAGGGAGGAGAGGACTAAGAAATTATTAAATCATTTTTTAAGCACCAAGCCTATATTAAAGTCATTTTGTTTCATTAGTTTAATATTTAAGTAAAATTTGTTTTTCAATCTTTCAGAACAACCGGCTTCAAATACAAACTTGATGAAAAATCCTTCAAAAGTGATTTTATTACAGGTAAAGAATTTCACCATTTAGACTTTAAGTTACTTTGTTTGACTCAGTAATTTAATTTTTGAAATGTAAATATTGTTCAGGAGACCACTCCTCTGCAGGCCAAGCATTCTAATCACCCTAAAGACGATTATTTATAAACTGTCTCAAAGGTGTATAGATATTTCCTTTTTTTTTTTCATGTGTGGTCACACTAAATGAAAAGATCTGAGATTAACTTAATTTATTTTTGTTGGACATTGTTACAATCATTGTAACAGAAACATGTTAACTATGTTGAATTTTGTTCTTTTTCAATTAGAACATGGTTGGTCCAGGTGAGGTGGATGAAGACTTGGAACCAGAAACTGCTGAAGAATGCAGCAAGTATGGCAAAGTGAATAAATGTGTTATATATGAGGTGAGTCATTTCACTCTGTCATTTAAGGAGGTGTGGTGGCTGAGTGGTAAAGGGTTTGGCTTCCATACCCGGGTTCCCCAGGTTTAAATCCTGGTAAACCCTTTGTCTGAAAGGGGAACTTTTATCTCCATCATTTCTCTTTTGTATGTCATTTTTGAAGGGCTTTTTGAGTTCCTAGCAGAAATATGCTAATGAATTCCTCAGATATAACTAAAATTGTTTGGTTCATGCTTTATTAAAAGAAATAGTGAAAGTAATGTATTTTATCTTATCAACCATAACAAATGAATTGGGCTACTGTGCTTGACCTGAATATGATGTAAAAAGGAGTTTCTACAAAATTTGAGTTGCTAGATGGTATATGAATTGTAAAAGGTCAAATAAAAAACGTTAACATTATGACAATGAAAGATAAAAAAACAACACATTTTGTATTTTTAGACAATGCACTAAAAAAAGCGAAAACTTTTTTTTCAAAAAGTACCCATTTAACAGTCTTTAGTAAGGAATTAACAAATGCAATACTTTCACTTGAATGCTAGCAATACATTTGTCTAACTTTATTCAATGGTAACTGGTTTAATCAGTTTTTTGTATCTTTATAAAGTTCCCCCCTTTTTTTCCTTATATTTTGTTTAGGTTCCTGATGCTTCTGATGAAGAATGTGTTCGAATATTTGTTGAATTTGAAAGAATGGAGTCTGCAATCAAAGGTAAGAAATGGGTCTGGTGGCAGTGTTAAAAAGGCTAAGGTTCTTAGACCTGGGAAATTCGTTTTTTTTGAAATTTTAGGAAGTCTGTTTTGTATAGTAAAGTTAGTTGGTTATTATGCTGGCCATAGAAATGTTAACTTTTGTCTTCCTCACAAGATTGCTAGGTTTCAGTGAGAATTATTATCCTCTGTCAATCTTAACATTCACAGCACTGGTTGATCTGAATGGAAGATTTTTTGGAGGACGAGTTGTCAAAGCTTGTTTCTATAACTTGGATAAGTTTCGTAGGATGGACTACGATGGTTTTGTTGATTAAAATTTCGATCATTGATTGATTATTATTGCTACTCTATTTTGTAAATAGTAATTAAATGTCCTTATTATTTCCATATTTAGAGCCTTTTGAGTTTTTGTCTCACTAAACATTTATTTATAAAGAAAGAAAAAACAAAAATATTGAGTGTCAAAAATGTTTATTTTCAAAAATCAGATCAACTGGATAAATGAACTGGCAAAAATTGGTTTATCTACATATGATTGATTATACACAACTAACCAGATGGGAATAAATACAAAACTTTCTTTTTCAATTTATGAACCAAAAAAAAAAAGTATACAAGCTAAGAGGTTTATATACAAAACAAGACAAAAGTTATGGTGGTCACACAAACTTGTACAGAACTTAGCAAGGAAAAGATAAAACTCCCTATGTAGAGACCAGTTGTTTGGACAACTATATCATTCCACAACTCTGCTGTGGACAGCAACAAAATATCACGAAAAGGTTATCTGCCCTTATCTTTCCTTAAGATCTGATTGTCGAAAGATGCCTCTTCCGAAAGAAACTACTTGTCAACAGCCCTCTTTACAAGTCTGAATGAAGCATTCTCAAAATCAAAAGGTCAAAAAAATGAACTTAAGGAAAGAGCCAGAAGTTCAATAGCAATGCCATTAGAAACAGTTCCCAGAAGGAAAACAAAAAAATTACTACAAATAAAATTTTGATTTTCAAAAGAACTTGATTTTGTCCCTGATCACATGACTTAACAAAATTTTAATTTAAAATAAATAATTGTTTTATGCTGTTGAACTAAAAACGTTTTTTTTTTTTAGATCTTCAGCAGAGTTTAATACAAATATGAATTTTACAAATTATAACCTTAATATTTATTTGAAGTCCCACATCCAATTATAAATACCAGCATTGTAAACGAACTTTGGTTAAACTATTGTGATGCAATTGATTAGTTGTAATGTTCAATAAATGATATATTTACATGTAAAAATAACTTATCTATTTGAAATAGTTCTTAGGAAATCAGAATAAATGTAAAAAAGTTGCTGGTAGTTAAAATTTAACTCTTTCCGTAATTATTTACCACATTCTGTGGAATCAACATTGGTATCGTTATTTAGGAGAGAAAGAGTTAAATAAAAATCATAGAATAAATGGGTTAAATTTTGTATCTAAAATTAAAATTCAAAGAATTCTTTCAAAGCAGCTTTTATTATAGAAGTCAAGGTAAACAAAAAAAATTTATTTGTGGCCATTAACTAACAGAACTTCAAATGAACACTGTAAGCTTTTAGCAAGAATCACTCTCTTGGAAATCTCAGCAACAGACACATACAGAACTGCCCAGACTCGTACATGTATAATAGAGAATGTTTATAAACTATGTACAATCATATATAAATAAGTATCAATTAGCAACTATATAAACTCACCAACAAAAAAAAACTATCACTTGAGTGAAACACAAGCAGACTTCATGTGTAGTAAGTAGGCACCTCTAGAGTCTGCTGCCATCATTGGATAGAGTGTGAATCTTCTTGTGTATTTAATTATTGTCTACAGTATATGATGTATGCCTTCTTATATAGAGTACAATATTTTTTTTTTTTTTTGGCTTGTCATTGGTCCCTGTACCAAAAGTTTTATGATACAATACTTCCTACCTAGTATGACATGTTGAAGTGAACCTGTTATGTACGAGAGAGAGGGAAGGGGAGGGAAATAGAAATGGAATATATTTACATAGCTGATAGTTCAAATGGTGTTAGGTCTAATGAGCAGCCTGTACATCAATACAAATCTAAGGATCCATCAAAACATTCTATTGCTTTCAACACAAGATCTTTCTCAAAAAGATTATCTCTTAGTTTAATTACAAGAATATTGAAACAGAATAAATTATAGTGGAATGTGGTGCACTGTTAGAGCTTTTGGAGGCTAAACTAAAGATTATGAGTCTTCTTGGATGAATTTTACTGAGTAATTGAAAATATTCCTAAATCTTGAAAATCTGACCTGGCATTTCTTGCAGTAAGTAAAGATGTTTAGGTCTGTAAGCCAGACGAAGACTGGTTAAAGATATTCTGTTATAATGCCATCTTATCTATATGCCAATAATTCTTTATGCATGAAAAAAATGACTTAAGACAATTTCTCCATTTAATGATGTGAATCACAAAGAGTTGATCTTCCAATCCAGGGGCACTTTTTAATTTGATGATGAACCAGGCAACTTTAGATCATTGTTTCAGCCCTTTGCTTCACTTCACATTGGTTTTAACTTTAGATCAGCAGCCAACACTTAACCAGCCACCACATTCTACCCTATGGGTGTGAACATCCCTACGTTTTCAATTTTTGAACAGAAAAATTGATTCTAAAATACTTCCCACAAAAAATGTAAATAATAAAACTTAAACAAAAAAATGTGCTAAAATTGTTACTGATTCAAACATAAGTGCTGCAGTAAATAAAAAACCCATTAGTTGATTTATTCACACTGATCAATCATTAGCACAGTACTTGTTCAGCCCATTACTGTATCACACTCACTGAGGTACAACACATTAGTACATACAAAGCTCCATCATGAAATGTCCTTCATTTATTTATGACAATATATATATTCATATATATGAAACTAAATCAGCCCGGCAGACAGGGATGGATTAACCTTATTAATCTTGACCTAAGACTACACGGAATTAAGTCCCTTTGCTTGAATTTAAAAGTCAGTAAAAATGTAGGTCAGGTTATTAAAAACAGTTAACTCCTGTCAAATGTGAATATAGTGAACTCTTTTAAATAAATTGAGTATCTCCTTAAAGAGGCAGATATTGATATCTTTATTGTGCAGCATTATATAAAAATGTCCCTCCAAACCTGCCAAGTAATTATGTAATTATATACATATCCAGTCATATCAAAATACAAAGAGCAATGAGACCATCAGCTGATCACAAATGTTTGTCTGTTCAAGAAAATAAAAAAGTGGAACTGAAGTAGTGAAAGAAACAAAATATACATAACAAGTTGTTTGAATGTCATATTTAAAACAAACTGATCAAGATCAACACTTCAATTTTACTATTACCAATATCTGCTTTCCCTTTTTGTTGTTGGATCAAATAAATTTTAAAAAAGGGACTTAACAGTGGAAGCATTTTTAAATATTTAAAAAAGAGAGAAATGAAAATGCATAGGCATGTCCATGTTGATGTAGGTAGAGCTACTCAAACATTCAGAGAAAGTCATTTGTCTCAATACTAACTGGTTTCAACTTATATCAAATTTCAATAACCACAAAGTTGCATGGTCCACTTCTTAATACATTTTTTAAAAATCTTTGAACTATAGTGGACAATATTACTTTTTTTTAATGAAGCTTGGTTTAAGATCCTAAGATAAGATGAAGCACATCACTTGGCACATGAATCAAAGCATTCATACCAAGATCAGTAACCTGTACCAAAGAGATTAATCATACATCTAATCTCTACCTTTTACAACATAATCACACAACTTTTTTTCTCATAATTGAATAATTTTTGCTGCGTTTCAAGTTCACCCATTCAACAGTGTCAAAACTGTACAAAATGAAACTAAAAAAAAAATAAAACAAAATTTCTGAACTGTACACCTAAAAACTAGTTGAACTGCTATGATAATGAAGACGTGACTGCTTCTAATGTTGGGTAGATAGCCATGAGCAGAGCAAACAGAAGCATTAGTAGTGGAATACTAGACACCAAGGAGACCTGTAAAGAATGAAAAACAAGAATTATGAAATGTGAACATTGAGTTGACATTCTACATTTACTTTAGTGTCAATGCAATAGAGAAACCAACTTGCAACCACAGAAAATAAACATTAAAATTTTTGTAATCAAATATGGACTACAAATAAAAAGTGTAAATCTTTGAAGAACTTTCTAAATGTTTGCTAGAGACTAACCATGCGCGACTTGTTCTGCAGTGCTTGGAAGTCCGAAGTCATATCAGTGATTTGTTTCTGCAAGAGATTTATTGCCTGAGACTTATCTTCACATGTAGTCCTGAGTTGGAGAACTTCTTGTTTGGCTTCTTCTAGCTAGTAAAGGAAAGTAATGGTAATGGCCATCAGGAACAATACTAATTACAAGAACAGAGCATTCACATGTTACATTGGTTATTGAATGAACATTTTTTTTCTTATTATTAAATTATTACAATTAAAGATTTCTTCTATCAAAAATAACTTTAATACAACAAAATGACAGTTAAAAATGTTCATTGAAAGAACTAATAAACACAAAATAAATTAAACACTTAAATTGCACTAAATGAATAATATACCTGGGCTGCTTATCTAGTACAAAAAAAATTCTTCTATTCAATAAAAGAATTTAAAATGATACAGAGAAAAAAAAAACGTTTTGATCTTTAAAAAATAAACAACAAAATAAATATTTCACATGAAAAACTAAATAAAAAATGTTTGAAAAGTTTCAATAAGCAGGCATGGGTTCATTTTTTTCATGCCTTAAGACACTTATCAATGATTTAACAAGACATTAGAAATAGTGAAGATTTAATTGAAAAAAAAAGAAAAAGAAAAGTAACCAACAAAATCAAAAGTCAACTAAAATACTGAAAACGACAAAAATAGCAGCATCAATTTTATAGCTACCTGAAGATGAAGAGAACTAAAGGAAATGGTATGGGTACTAGATGTAGTAGCTTTAAAAGGTGGGGTTCTGTCAGCTGACCCTTGACTTGACAGAGCAGCAGAACTGTCCAAAACTTGACTGCACTCTGAGAAGGAAGAAGAGCTAACTGTTTCCTTAGATGATAGCTGTCTGGAGAAGAGAGGAGGGGAAACAGAGGATGGTGGAGAGAGAGCTATCCCAGAATCCTTCTCACAGGAGCTTTGTGAGGCAGAGACTTTGCATACCTCCTGCCGTATATTGTGGGCATCCTTCTGTGCATCAGTTAGATTACCCTTCCAGGAGACCTCACTAGTCTCAAGTTTCACTTTCAGAGACTCTAAATGTTTATAGGATTCCTGAAGCTTGTTGTATTCTGATGATAAATGGAGATTTTCTTTGCGAGACCTGAAAACAATATTTTATTAGCATTAAATTCATACTTATTATTAACAAAACAGAAAACTAACTATATACTAATAGAAATATAATAAACACTAACTCTAGATCCTACTTCCAGACTGATTTCTTCAGCGCTAAATTTATTGGCACGTAAATCAGAACTGAAAAGAACAAAACTACTCTAGCCACATAAAAGATTAATTTAACGCTCACATTTTCATTTCTGCCTCTATTGCCTGAATCCTTTTTCTTAAATTTGAGCACTCCTCTTTTAATGCTTGATATTCTGAGGAAGACAGGAATGGAGTTCATCATTGGATGGTGACAACTTTTGGAAGATTAAAGGAAGATCAAAAGATAGGTGCAGAACTAGACATAGGATGGAAAATACGGACAAATAGACATGTGCTAAGAAATGTCTACAAACTAAGGAGGAGATAATTGACATGCATGGTATGAAGACATGTTTTCTATTTTCTAAAAGACTTCCACATTAATATAATCTTTGGAGAGGGATTCAATTGGGACAGGTCTTTAATCTTTTTATTAAAATAGTATTTCAACACAGTTTAAATATAGTATATGTGAAACGTATCTTAGTTTAAATATAGTACATGTGAAACATATCTTGAGACCAATAATTTAGTTGTTTAATCGGTTCTATCAAGAAAAAATCCACTAACCACCTGATGTGGCGCATACTCTGATAAATTTAGAGATGTGAAGAATCCTGAATGCACAAACTACATGACAGCTAACTGAACCAGTCATCAAATCTGAGTGTTGGTAATACAATTGAGGGGTCGCAAAGCAAAGGTCTCATTATAAGCTTATACATCCTACTGCTGATAACACATTTGTGTATTTCCTGTTTTTCAACCTATATATTCTATTTTTGAAATTACCAGCAATAAAAAAAATTTAATTAGTTGGACTTCAAATTATTCTATATTATTTTCAGCAATATTCTGTGATGAAGGGTATGGTTATCAGCAGATTATTTTAAAAGCAATATAAAAAAAAATAAAACAAAATGTGCTTATCATGTCTTTCATTCAATTTGACTGAACACACACATGATCAATTATTTTGTGCAAATCTTCACTTGAAACTGTATCTCATTATTAAGGATTATTTTTCTAAGATATTTTAGTAACAAAATATTTATAATGTGCAAAAACACAAATGTTTTAGGCACTATATATATATATTTATATTTTTACTTAGTTTAAATTCTGATTATTGGCTGAGACATTTGAACAGACACATTTTGGTTCCAACAATTCTTGTGCTGTGTACTAACAGACTTAAATGTGGATGAAAAACAACTTGCAGAGTCTGAGATAAAGATTTTCTGTAACAGATTTAAGTTCTTGGAAAATTTCAAACTGCTACGACAAACTATGATCATACATTCAAATATAGAAATGTATCATTGGCCAAAACTCTACCAAGATAAGGAGAAAGTAATTAGGATGTATACTTTAAGGCAACTTTTGTGGAAAAAAAACAAGGCAATTCTGGAA